GTGTAAGCACTACCTAGCAACAACTAAAACATCGGTGTGTTATCAACATTTTTCTCATCCTAAATCCAAAACACAGCACTGTACCAGCTACTAGGAAGGAAATTAACTCTATCCCTGCTGAAACCAGGATACTCATTCAATATCTTTAAGTGTATTTGTTATTTGCATGGCAGCAGACCTAAAAAAATTGCCGTCCTGTTGCTCCCAACACTACACCAATAGAAACCAGTAAGAAAGGTCCTGTCCCCTAGGATGAATATAGAAAAAAATATAGAAAAAACTGCATTACCTAATTACAGAATTGAAGCAGAGCTGCCATTTTCCGCACTGTTATCCCCCGCTTGGTTTTATCATCCTCCCTTCCTGCCTGCTCTTCAGGTTCTTCTTTCGCAGAACACAAAGCCAGTGACACATCTGAGTTTGATTCAAAGTGAACCAGTGAAGGTTTCAGGGCAGGGATTGTCTCTCTCACATGTCGGCATAACAGTTTTCAAAAACCCACCTACCATAAAGTGCATCCTCATTCTCTGGTAGCCCTCAGCAAAGCTCTGCGAGCATGATTCAGCATTGACTACTCTCAGCAGCATCAAAAATTTTTTGAGTGTGCATCATTTTCCTTGAATAATTCCTTTTTCTGTAGTGCTGCTTCATTAACTCTCCTAACGGACAAGCTTTCAAATGAAATGGTATTTCATTTCATACCCTGATCCAAGCCCTCATTTCCACTTTGAAATGTCTTGTTAGACAAGCCTCAGATCCTTCCGACTCTGCTCCATGGCTGGTTTTCACCTATTATTAATGAAATGGTCAGAGTTTAACAATCCCCATTTTGGTTGCTAATATCATTACGTGTACTAGGGGCTGTATCAGCAGCTACACAGATGTAATTTTATTCATATCTGCTGTAGGATATGTATAATTTGCAAGCAAAATTGCCTCTTTCTCTACTCCTTCCTTCTTTTATTTTTTGCAGTAATGAAATTCAAACACTTTGCTGGCTTTACTGCAAGACCCTCTTCCTAGATTGTCTTTTGTTCTTGCTTGTGCTCTCCCTTGAGCGCCAGTAGCATTGCAGGAAGTTACAAGATCTGTCTTTCTTTTCTGCTCATCTTTGAAATATTCTGGGCAGACTGTGATGGTGCTGTAGTGTTTTTTTCTTTTCATGAGTATCCAGCCAAGTGAGGGCATTTCAACCCTGAGCACCTAGATGAACCACTCAGAAATTCACCTTTTGGCATACTGTTCTGGGCCCTAAAGGCAAGACTTGGCCCACAGTGGTTGTAGGTGGGTTTTATGGAAAGCTGTATGTTTTAGGAGATCTGACCTCCTCCATTGACATGACACACTGAGAAGACCTTATAAGGAATCCACAATGAGGATAGTCTTCTAAAGCCTATGCAGGGTCTTCTTCTCAACCAACATGGAAACCAGCTAAACATGTTTGTTTTGAGCCGTGAAAACAAAGCTACACACTGTATGTTATGGAGTTGATCCTGAAATCTCTTGAGAAGAGGTGCCAAAGCTTCAGTCTTCATAGTTATAAAGCAGACCATGCTTCAATGGCTTGAAGAAGATTCAAAGCTTGCTTTAGCAGGCACACTGAAGTGGAGGTGTCTGGCTGGAAAGGGATTGTAGTTTATGTAGTTCTTCATATACCCCAACAATCTCCAAACACTGGAAAGTTTTCTGAGACATTTGCATTCAGAACACATTAGAAGAATCAAAAAGCTTCTTCAACTTGCAGTCAAGAAACTACAATGAAGGATTGTGGCCTTCAGGTTTTAACAGATAGGTACCAAACTTTTAGACCTAAAAATCTATTCTCTAAAAAGAGCAAACTTTTTCACCCCTAAATTGACAAATGTTGTTATTGAAGCAATGGCAGGACATAAATACACAGGTTTGTTTTGGTCTGTATGCTTCTTTCCAAGAATTTAATATTCTGGTCTCATCTCTTGTCTAAGGAACTATCATTGCTGGAATGAAGCTTGGATGACCAGACCTGATCTTCCTGTTGGTTTTGGAGGATGGCAGGCTGTTGATGGGACACCCCAAGAAACCAGTGATGGTAATATTTCTTGAAGTCCTCCTTAGCTCTCTTTCTAGCGCTTGGGTTCTTTATAGCAAACAATGAGCTGACGATAGCTGAGCCAGTGGCACCATATGGCCAGTGACAACTTCTTGCACCAGATAACCACACTCACCTGTGCTCAGGGCCTTCTCCTGATTTGTTTTAAGCTCTAAAATAAATCTGTCCTTTTTATAACACTGCTCATGATGCACATGCACAAAATCCTGCATGAGAAAGGCCCTGCTTGGTACAGAAGAGATGTAGCCCTGTTGCCAAAAGATGGCTTCTAAAATTTTAGGTAACCTATACAGGAGCCTGATCAAATTAATTCTCCTTCATTTTATGTCTGCAGCCCTTACTAAACTTCCTGAGCAGGCAGTAGGCAGGAGAGAAAAAGTGAAAAGCCACTGCTATTTCTTTCCAGTCCCTAATTTTCCAGTTCTTAAAACACATTCTTAGCAAATTTGCAGTGAGATCTTTCTCAGTCTGTGGTATAACTGAGCCCTCCCAAAATTATCTGCTTTAACCAAAACCAGCTGTAACTGCGTTTCAAGCACTTGAGACTTACAGTGGACTATACGGTGCCATTAAGGTACCGAACCGTTAGGTTGCTTCAGACTTGAGTCTGTGTTGTTTAGAGAGCTGGTAACAGAAAGTAAGCTTTTCACTTCTTGGTCAGGAGTTCCTGTAAACTATTAAAAGAGTTCACCAAACCCCAATAATTCTTTTTCTTTGAGAAAATAGAACATTTTCACATGTTTTTTAATTAATTTATTTTCTCATTTTATCTCTCTTCTCCCCATAGGTATGTACAGGTGTGGCCCAGCCTCAGTTCAAGCCATTAAACATGGTCATGTTTGCTTCCAATTTGACGCTCCTTTTGTCTATGCTGAGGTACATACCTGAAAATTTTTAGTGCATTGTGTGGTATCGGTGGGACTATAGGTGAGACAGAAGATAAGGCTCCACTACAATTTGTGGATTGAGAAGTTACTCCACGTATACTCCACGTCAAAGAAAAATCTCATAATTATGTTTTGACATGCAGGCCTGTAGGTGTGATATGGCTCTAATGAATGACAGAGATTTCTCTGATCTCCGCTCACCAATGTAATAAGCAGTAAAAGCTACTCTGGCTCCGATGAAACTTCAGGCTGTGGTCATTTATCCTTCCCAGATTTCAGCTATGCTGGCAAATGAGTCACTAGCTCTAGCTGCTCATCTTCATCCCTTGTTAGCTGTTACCTGCTTCTCAGGCTTGCCAGCAAAGCTGCTTATGTTAAGGCTCCCTTGCTTATTTCAGTCAAAACGGACGCAGTGATTTTAAAGAGGTCTTTGCTCACCATGTTCATTTTGGCTGCAGTGGTCAAGGAGAGCTCACATCGGTGATTTGACTGGCAAATCTGAGAGGGCAATATCTCCATGAGGAGTGCGAGGGCCTGGTCTGGAGTTTTAACCTCTCGCACCACCAGAGCTGGTGTGCCCAGAATTGCAGCAGCTGTAGAGCAATTCTCTCTCTAATTGAATTGTCTATAGCTCTATGGTCTAAAGCTTTTTGGTGCAAGGAATGTGTAATCACGCTCCCCAAGTCTGAACAGTATCTCTGTAGCTTACTCAAGTTTACACTGTCTGTTGTTCTGGAGCTGCAAGTATTAAAATTAATCTAGTCATTATCGTAGCATATGACTAATTTTAAACATGGGACTCCAATGCGAGTGGGACTTCAAGTCAACGTGTCATTGTTTTGAGGGGAGATAGGCTGGCTTCTTTTCCTCTCTCTACTTCCATGTATCTCAGTCCTTTTTCATTTAATTTTATAGGTGAATAGTGATATTGTTTACTTGAGAAGGGAGAAAAATGGAACCCAAGTGATAGAAAAAATTGACACAACCCATGTTGGGCAGTTGATTGTGACCAAGGAAGTCGGGGGTGATGGAATGATGGAGATTACTGAAGAGTACAAGTTCCAAGAAGGTAACCTGAAATGGGGTGGGACCGTACCGATGTAGATTTACCTCAGTCAGATCTTGGATGGTGGATTTACAGACCTCTGGCACTGAAGGACCTGCATGAAAAGCTGCCAAGGTGCCCTCTGGAACTCTTTATTTGTAACTCCATCCCAGAAACACTGCAGATGACTTAATAACAGCACAGACTTTGCTACTCAGAAATGCTTTGGACTGAGTAAGCTGTAGTGAAAACAAAGGGTGGTCATGGAGTAACTCAAAGCATTCAAAACAATTCAAAGCTTTCTGTGCAGCTGTTTAGACATTTCTTACTCAGGCCAGATGTTTGCACAGAGTAAATCAGTGTTGCTCCATTAATATCAATTAAGCTAGGTCAATTTATCTGATATGGCTTGAATCTTTAAGACCAGTTTACTTGGAAGTTGTGAAGCTGTAATAATAACTTCACCACAGGAAGGTTCACTGTCCTCATCCATTCATTTCAGCTACCACAAACTATGGAAGATGCACCCTTGTGATCGGTGAGTGGGCTAATGCAGTACCCCTGTTTCTCTTCTAAATTTGATTTTCATTCATTTCTAGGCTCAGAGGAGGAGAGACTGGCTCTTGAGACTGCTGTGATGTACGGTGTTAAAAAGCAAACTACACAAGATACCATGTATCAGCCACAGACGGATGTTGACATGGACTTCCAAGTGCAAAAAGCAGTCCTTGGCAGTGACTTTAAAGTCACTATAACTTTCAGGAACAAAAGTCACAACTACTACACTGCTACGACATACCTTTCAGGCAACATAGTGTTTTATACAGGAGTCACAAAAAATGAATTCAAGAAACACTCTTTCAGTGCAAAACTGGAACCCTCTTCATGTAAGACTTGCATAGTTGTTTTCAAACCTGCTAGCTTTTTTTCTCTGTGTCATTAACTGTCACCAGTGTCTCTACCCATGGGTACAACCAATTCTAGTAGCTAGGGGAAGGGTACTGTATTGAGTATCAGGAGGCTCCACTCCCAACTCTGGCCCTGCCACCAGTGTTGTTTAGAGCTGAGGCTGTTTTCTTCAGGCTGTTGCTCCCTGCATAATGCTCTCTTACACCAAGCTGCATGTCTGGGAATTGTTAATTTTTCTTACTTAGTACAAAAGAAAGCAAAGGAGTGCAGGTATTAAGCTGCAAGGTATCATTTTTCATACCTTTAGTCTCCTAGCAGTATCTCAGCAAGTGAGGGAAAGTTCTGGTCCCCAGGGTGTCGTTTACAGGGACAAAAAGGTGAGTATCTTGTCTTACCTGAAAGAAGCTGACAAGCTCTGAGTGGGTCCAAGTGCACATCTGGCTTTAGAGGACTGGGTGGTTCAGGATTTTATATTTACAGTGATCTAAAAAGTTGATCTGTAACTAGAATGTGCCGCTATGGAGCAGGGGCATTTGTCAGCTGGGCAGGCACCCCAAAGGTGAGTTATCTTAACAGTGTTTGCTTTTCCTAGTGCCCTCTGGAATGCGGTAGAGAGATCCTGCCTCCCTCATGAGAAGAGCAGTTCCTGGCAGCCTAGCTCATCCACCTGAAGGCAGGATTTTGCACTGCTCAAAGCAGGGAAAAGGGATGTTCCTCTTTTTTATTTTGGACATAGCCAATTTATTTCCTGTCAGCCATGGCAGCCCCATTCGGAAAACAGTCAGCGAGTGTTGAGGACCTGTTGTACTCCAAAGCACTATGGAGCAGGCTGGTTGTAGATCCCTGGCTTCTCCAGCAAGAAGTGACTGCCAATCACTTGTTCTTCTGACAGGCCTGTGCTCTTGGGTCAGTGCCTCCAGCTCAGCAAAAGTGATGAGAACGTGCTCTTACGGAGGCTAAGTCAGAGGGTCCTCTACTTGAGTTCCCTGCTGAGAAAGTCAGGAGCAATGATTTTGCCTTCTTGACGCTGCTACTGGGCAAAAACAATCTCTGCTGAGTGCAGCAGGAGTGGCAGGACTTTGGGAGGCCAAAGAATGGGCCTCCTGATCTGGGTCTGGTGCTGGATCACAGCAACCCTAGCTGACCTCTGAGCTTTCTCATCTATCTTGTCTATCTCATCCCAGCTCAGGAGACACTGTGAGCCCTCTCTCCTCAAAGAGGACGGGTTTTGTCTTAGTGAGAAGCGTCTGTGGAATCATGGTTCCTGCTGTGCCGTGAAAAAAAATCCTCCTCTTAGACCATCATCTAAAACTGCACATTTTGATTTGGGGCTGATTAATCTCCATAAAGTAGGAGTCCACTTAGATGGATCTACAGGTGAAGGTTAATAAAAATTCTATCTCCGGTCAATAACAAAGCCCTGACAGCTGCTTGCTGGTTCTTTCTAACCCCCTGACTCATTTGCAAGGGGTCTGGAAATTGGCTGACTCTGGGTTGCATTGGGTTGTTCCAACACAGTCTATCAAAACACAGTGTGGGGTTTTATATTGGCTTGCATCAGTTACTAAATATTTGATCTGAAATACTGCAAAAATTTTTGGAGACTTGGCTAGGTACAGTAAAAAAATCAATTTCAACTGCTCAGTATAAATTCTGTGCCACTTCTTTGACAGGGGAAATTTCAGTCTTATGTCTTGCTCTTGCATCAAAGGTCTGTGTAAGGTATTATTACCTGAAACACAGCTTCTGCAGTGCTTTGAGGCTCATCTACCTCCTCTGTGCAAGAAATGAAATGAACAGATGATGTATAAGCATCACTGAAGCTCATAATTCTTTTTTTCTAAGTTAAGTAAATGGTTTGTAAAAAGCTTCTTGAAACTGTGCTGGAAACTCTGAATTGACCTATGGCAAGTGAACACAGACTAGAGATAGGGATGAGAGAGAACAGAACATGAATTTTTTTGCATGTGTACCAAAAGTATGTCCCCATCACTGTCTCTGTGATGAGACATGTTTTAAGGTATTACCACCTTTCAAGGTGGAAATTAGCTTATAGCTGAGCTACAGTCATTGACTTGTGGAGCACATTGTCCCACAACAGGACAAAAAAAACCTGACCAGTTATGCCATCTATGAAGGTGATACATAAAACTTGAACATGAATTCTTTTGGCTTTGCCTTGGAAAGGAGTACGCATACAATCGGGAACGGTGTATGAAGGGAGGCAGCGTGATGATTTGTAACTGTGTGAGAATGCTCTGTCAGGGGTGTGATGGTAGGATACCTTCCAAGGCACTCAGGCAGAATTTGTAGGCTTCGTTCATGGCAAGAAGTGTGTATATATATATCTGGAGGTAACAAAAAATTACAATATAACAAAGATGTGTCACAAGCATCTTTCAAGCTCATGCTACTGAAAGAATGACGCAAACTAAATTTTCAAACAGAAAGCGAATGCATGATTTTCAGAATAATGATTAAAGGAATTGTGTGGGTTGAAAACATCTTTGAGGATTTGAATAGCTTAAACCTTCCAGTGTCTTCAAAGGTGCTCTCACATCTACTCGGTTATATTTAGTTTTCTATTTTCTTTTAAAAGGCTGTAAGGCAGCTCGGTGTTGTGTCTCCCTTGGCTTTCCCAGGTGCAGTAAGTGGTTCTGGCAGCTTACCAGCACAGCCAGTGCTAAGGAAATGGAAGTCTATTATTCTTTATTTTCCTGTGGTGATTAAATTTAAACAGAAAAGTTCATCTTTCCTTCCACTGTAAAGTAAATTTCTCTTCAATTGGAACTAATTTATTTATTTATTTACTTACTTATTTTACACAGATGAGAAATACCTTGCCTGATTTATAATTTACAGTTTGGGGCATTATGGGAAATTCTTTTACAAGAGATGCAGAGTGAGAGGGAGGGAGGGGGAGCACATCAAGTAAATTTAAGGCTGGCCTGGTAAATCCAGGTCAGGTGGTCACCAAGGGAATAGCTTTGAAACCAAATCAAGGAACTGGTTTTGATGTGGGCAGATCAAAAGAGTGATAAGGGGTGAATGTCATTTACCCAACTGAGTTCAGTTATCTCAATGTGTACGGTGTGTGTCACAGGTAAAATACAAATAATGGATAACAGTAATAATCATAGTTAACAGATGGGAGATCTTGATATGTTTACTAGGGTTATAATGAATGTTTATAGAAGCAAGAGCTCCAGATCTATATATTCTGCCCGGTCACTTAGTTAGCAGGTTTGCTTCTCTGCATCACATTCTCACACCATTGTTGGCCTGGGAATTGCAGTTCAATATGGTTAAAATTAACGATTCCCTGCATCTCAACCATCTAGCTTAGGGGGACTTGTTCCTTCCAATAATTATTGTCAGGGAGCATGTGAAAGCTCTCTGGAGGGCATGCTGGTGACAGGAGGACCTTCTTGCTAAATTTTGCAGGCAAGTCCAGTGTAGGACAAAGGCAGATATCCAGACATGTCCTGGAGAGCAGGTGGTCTCCCAGGTAGCCTGCATGGACTCACAGCCCCCAGTGGCTGCTCTGGTGACATCCCTGGTGGCATCCCTCTGCCAGGAAGAGGGGCAGAGAAAGCACAGGAATAAAGTGAAAGAGCAAATGTTTACAGGGGTGACACTCAAAAGGTTTGGACCTTTTGGTCCAAAAGCATAGCTTTGGACCTGGCTATTTATTGCTAGTCTTGCTTCTCGCTTATTTTGTGGTAATGCCTAGAAACCTTCAACAGTGACCTGGGCCCGTGCTGACGGGCACTGGGCAGAGGCTGTGCACAAACCCAGCCCTTGCCCCAGGGAGCTCACAGCCTAAATGGAAAGAGGGCAAGATAAGAGGGGGAATGGTGAGGTAAAGAAATGAAGATAGTTTGGGCAAAAAAATGAAAGTCGTTCTTTGGTGGTGGGCCACCTTTTTTTCCAAGGCACGCATGTAACTGGCACTGGCCATGATGGGAGGAGCAATTAGCTATTAGATTGCTTCAGATACCTTTTTTTCTTTCCTGCTTCTCCCCTCAGCTAGCGCTTTCGATGTTGTGATCAAATCAAGCGAGTACCTGAGTGACCTGCTGGACCAAGCCTCCTTTCATTTCTTTGTGACGGCGCGGATCAATGAAACAGGGAAGACTCTGGCCACACAGAAGGCAACAGTCCTGGAAATTCCCACCCTGAAGATCAAGGTAGCTCAGGGCTGGGGTGGAGGGGAGCAACCACCATGCTGCACATGGGCTGTTCTCTACAAGGCTGTCACATTGACTTCTGGGATGTGTGTGTGTGTGCGTGCGCACACATTAGACCTTCAGTCTAATATGGACCTTATAGAGCAGCAGCTGCCTGGAGTGTACGAGGGTGTATAGGTATGTTATATATTGTACTGAGTATCCCTACATTGAAGTCTGAAGCTGACAGCATCACTGGTAGTAGAGAGCCGTAGTGATCTCAGTGGAGGAAGGAGGGGAAAAGATCTGAGAAAGCTGGAGAAACTCAAAGGGTAAGAGAGATTACTCACTCAAGTCACTCAAGTCTTTACTTCAGAAGCCTACTGTATTTAAAGCAACACAGTACAGAGGCCTCTGGCTGAAGAATGAAGGACGCTGCTATTGAGGTGAATTCGCTTGGAAAGCTTCTGCAGTTGTTGTGGAAAGTTCCTCCAAACTTGGATGGGCAGCATCTATTGAGGATGATGCTTTCAGGATTTCAGTGTTTTGCTGCCACTGTGTGAATGTACTGTCAGTGGAGTTTCCTGAAAGTTCAAGCATTTTTGCAGACGGTGGCATGGTACCTATGAAAATGCAGAAGTGTAATGTTCGTGATAGGACAAGAACCCTATGTCATATGGCAAAGGCAGGGCTGAGATTTAGAGTTCTCAATTCATAACTGGGCATCCAAATAAATTGCCTTATTTTCAAAAGCGCTGAGCCTTCATCTGCTTTGAATGATGTCATTTGGATCTGCTTTTCTTCCTAATACTAAAAAAACCCCAAAACAGAACACCTGTTGAGGAAGCTTTACATAAACATGAATGCAGCTCCCTAAAATTCAGGACTTCGAAAGAAATCTAAGTTTATAGACCTTTTCCTCCTTGTACATCTATTTGAACCAATGTTCATGTTTCCATATAATAATATATGTAGCAATCTGAAACAGCAGTCTTCTGCAGAGAAAGCTTTTTAAAAAATGTAGATCAAAACTACAGTGAAGTTTGCAAAATATTTCATGGTCTACAGAAATGTCACTATGATCTGATCAGATTATTGGTATTTTCAAATAAAAGTTTTTTGGTTTACTGAGCATTCTAGAGAGGAGGTAAACAAGACAGATAAAATCTACTTCAAATACCTGTCTTCAATAATCAAATTTTGAAAGTAGAGAGTTCTTTCAATTCAATACTTAAACAGAACATCTTATACAGGATCCCAAATTTCAGCTTCAAAATAGTTTATCCTCCCTGCTGTTATGAAGAAAGGATGTTTAGTATATAAGAGAGGTTGTTGTCCAATAACCATGCCTTCTAGTAAAACTGAGTTTGTCTCTTCTCTGCTTCTTTGTGATGCGTAAAAATAAGCTGAAATTTTAATAGCTGGATTTTTTTAAGAGAGTGTGTGTGTATGTGTGCATGTGCATATACCGATGTATTTATATAGGAAACTTTGCTTTATTGTTTTTTTAAGAAATCCGAAGAATCTTATCTCCCTAGATTTCTTGTCAGATTTCTTCATTGAATTTGACTGGCAGACTGGAGTTCTTAATGTGAGAGTAAGGGAGAAGAATGAAAAAACTTATTTCCCCTCACGTCTTCAGATACACCTTTACGTCTTCAGATACACCTTTGATCTTTCTCTGTTGGTCTAAGGAGATTGTCAGAGTTAACAGTGTAGGAAATTACACCTTATTCTAATTTAGCTTGAGACCAGGTTACAAAAATAAGCTCGGCAAATACAGATCATGGTCTCAGTTTTATGTGTGGGAGTTCAGCATGATTTTGAATCCTCCCATGTAACAGTGATCTTAAATGGGCAATTAAAATAAGGAGGACATAAGACCTCTAATTGGGCTAGGACTTCTGAAAATGTCACTGATGTCTTTTTGCAAATTCAGGTGGCCAAATACTGTCGAGAGCTTACCTGTGAGTATCTCATTCTTTACTCCAGTCAATATATCGGTATTGGGTGCAGAGTGATCCCTTAGACCAGAGTCGTTCCAGCTTTTTGCAACTGTCATACTCCTTAAAAATTTGCAGTAGGGCTGCATACCCCAGCGTAGCACTTTAAATTTATCGACAAGATACTTGTTTTTCTTAGTTACCTTTCTCAAGGCCCTTTAAAGTAGTCCATGGACCAGCTGGGATCTGCCAGCCATAAGTTGAAAACCCTTGCCTGAGCCTTTTATATTCTGAGAGAAGTGTTGTGTTTCTAGAGGAAAGAAACCAACATCCCCATGCATGTAGTCTCTGTTTAAAAACACGTTCATTTGGAGGTGTTTTCCAGGCAGCTGTACTACCAGCACTGATCTGAAGGGACAGACAGATCCCTTCAGCTGTGTACTGTAATACACGTGGAGGTCAATGAGATCGCTGCTCATTAGTCTCGCAGTTTAATATTTTCCAGTGCAAAATGTATTGATTTTTTGCTATGTAAGGGTTTTGGAGGACAACTGGCTCTCAGGTCTATGTAGAGCGCATTCGCAGGGCTAGAAACCCTTCAGAGCACAAGAGGTGGTTGCAAGGCAGGGGAAGATGGGCACAACAATTTTGGGGGGTGCAAGCAATGTGACAAGGTGTTTCTAATTTAAGGTAATAAGACCTGCCCTTCTCTTCTAGAGCTTACGTCCTGAGCAGGCCATGCACTTCAGTGCTGGTGGGGAGCCTGGGGAGGGGGACAGAATCTGGGAGAGAGGCCCCCTCAGCTGGACTTGCCCTTAGTTGGACACTCAGCTCCAGGACTGTGTATACAGATTTCTGTTTTTTCTATGGAAATGAGGGCGTGCCTCTTGACCTGCCATGTGGTTTGACGGAAAGTTGCAATGGGTAGAAAAATCTGCAGTGGTACCCATGGGCCCATCCAACAATTTTCTTCTGACCAGGCTTTCTCTGCCTCATGCTGTTTTGCTGTGTGCTCCATTCCCCCTCCTCTCCTTCTTTGCAAGTACTGTGTATTTAACCCTACAGATTTCACCATGGAGCATTTTATTATTATCGGCTTGTGGAGCATTGTCCTTTCCTTGTCTTGCAGACCCAAGGTGAGACGGTAGCTGGTAAAGAAATGTCTGTGACTGTGAAATTCACCAATCCTCTGAAAAAAACCCTGGACAATGTCACGCTCCGCCTCGAGGGACCCGGTGTGCTGAGAACAATGAAAAAGGAGTTCAGGTAGGGAAGAAAGCACAACTAGCTGGGAGTTCATCCCCTGCTTGCTCACAGGAGGAAGCTTGCAAGAGACACTTAACTAATGCTGCGCTGAGTAATTCAATTCAGACACACTCTCCTTACTTTAAAATTCAATACACAGGGGAGCTATAGGTCTCAATAGTCAGAAGAAGTCAGGCTGTCCAGAGAGACTGTGGAGAGAGACTGAGAGCATTTCATCCGTTCAATACCAGTGTTGGAGGAAGGGGTAGTGGTTGTGGGTAGTTGCTAATGCAGCCTGAGTTTACTTTTTCACTGTATTACATTATTTTTAGCGCTTGACAATAGCACCTACGAGCCGCTATCACAGAAAGAAAGACAGATTTATCCTACACATGAAGTGTTTACTGCCATTCGCTCAGCATGTGCAAATCAAGTCCTGTGCTGTTTTTCAAAAAGGGCTTTTCTCCATTCATGTTAATCATGATTATACAAGACATTCAGGTACCTCAGATGATCTTTGCAAGCTTATGTCAAGACATGAAATGTGTGTTGGATGCAGCAGAGCCCGCTGGGATGGCTACAGTGGGTGTGCGAGCACACAGCTCCCCCTGGTAGCACCACTGCAGAGGGCTGCCCCGGCACAGAGGTGTGTTCCTAACACAGGGTGCTCCCAAGTTTGAGGAAAAGGAAAGCCACCTTCATCATACTCAGAGTTGCACCTCATGCCAACACAGTGGTACCCGTATGCTAAGCAAGTTGTTTCCTAAACCCTCTTTCCATTTGAGTTCAGTGTTATAAGCTCAGCATTAGCCAGTTCCAGGATATATATCTGGGATCCTTGGAAAATTTTGCAGCCATTGCTTAGTCTTGGGCAGCCAAAGCAATGTTATGTATCATTACCTGAGCTGATGGTCCCCAGGTGTGTGCAAAAGCAGTTTGAAAAATTGCCTGTGCTTCAGCAGCTGCATAAATTGTCAGCATTATCTGCAGCCAGGAGGTCTGAGCCTGATTGCATCTGGGCCGGGGATAAAAAGATCAAAACCAGTCTCCAGAGTGGAGCTGGATAGAAAAATGACTGTGAAAGGGCATCATACTGTGCTTGCTTTGTGCATGTGGTATGTCACAGACGCTGTGGAACATGACTCAGCATGGTCCACAGGAGTTACACAAGTTGCAGTAATAGCCCTCGTTGCTGTCCAGCCGTGCCAGCGTCCCCTGTTGTTCTGCATCCATCTCGATCCAAAAGCTGCCGTGGGCTGCTCTCACCTTCAAGGATGAAGAAGTTGTCAGGTGCATCAAAGGCACAGAAGTTAGGGAGAAAAATGACTCACGGAACAGACGTCATTTTCCGTCAAGTCACCATGTTTTCCCCTTTTCAGTAGTGCTCTTGGCATCATTTAAAATGGAAATGGATCAGCTTAGTCATTTTAAGATTTAACTTCTCTGAGATGATTGAGGGCTGCAGGTTATACACACAGAGGACAGAGCAGGGGGCAGTTGTAGTTTATTTAAATAATAATCACATTTTCCTCCATGCATTCAGAGTGATAAATGGTTCTGGTGCAGTGATGGCTCAGCATATTACGTAGAACCATTTATCACTGAATTTTTTCCCAGGAAAAATCAGATTAGGGTTGCTTTACTCCATTTGCAAAGAGAATTAAACCTATTCTAGGCTTTCCCCACCCTTCCACTGCTTCCCTGTCCATCAGGGACTGTCACATATGGGATGTGGCTTTTGCAATTCTTTGTGGGGATGAGACTTTTGACCTCCCTGTATTTTTAAGCTAGCTTTTCTGTATCACTTGGGTGACTCCACAAAACAGGTATGTGTGATCCAGCTGATACAACATTATTCTGGGAATGATGTTGCTTGGGGGCTTCAGTCTTGACCATTCATAAAGACACGAGAGAGAGAGAGAGATTTAGCTATTAGCCTCAGACAGATGAGGAGCATGACTTATGGAAAAGCCTTTGGCAGCATCAGTTCCTACGTGGGGCATAGTCTTTGCATGACAAATGAGAATTAACCAGGCAGTGATGGATAGTGTTAAAAGGATTTCAGCCAAGCATGCATTCACACTAGCAGGTAAGTCACTTCAGGTGTTTCTACGTGTCAAAGCTCATTTAGAGCTAATTAAGGTTTCTTGTCTTGTGGCAGCTTGTGCTAAGCCTGGGCAGTCATTTCTGTCCTGACCCTGGCATAGGATATGGCATCTGAGAGCCAAATCCTACCAGATGAAAATTTGAAATAGTGACTAAAGTTTAGGCTTACTTTACTCTCACTTTATTCAGTTGCTTGCAGAATACCATAGACGTGAGATGAGAACACTGGCTAAATTGATAATCCTCTTACTTAATGGTGAGGAAAAGAACATTCATTTTTACAAACAGCTCCCCACTACACTACCTTCTCCATTGGTTCCTTTGGAGCAGCTGTATCCTGACATCCCCCAAACATAATCAATCAAACAATATCAGCCTTCAAAATCTGCACACAGAATGTAGTGAAAGCACTGAGAAAACACAGAAACCTAATACTCAAGGCTCTCCATGCACCTTAATTGTAGCAAAAATTGAAAATCAAGAGCAGCACAGAATAGAGTTGCTTTATAGTATGAGTTATCAAGAGTCATACATAATGTAAAAGAGTAACTGCTAACTCCCAAGAACACTTTGACTTATTTGTATGGACATGAAGAAGTCATCTGAAGTGGCCAGTGAGGAGATTTGTTGATGTTACGACCGTGGCAGGGTGGCTCAGGGTAGGAGCTCGCCGAGGGTCTCAGCATCTCCTCAGCACTGCATCAGGTTTGCATGGGAATGCCCTGGACACTCCATAACAAAGACTTATTTAACCATTTAAGGAATCACCAACAGGCTATAGACTATAATAAACAGGTAAAATGGAATTATAAAGTAGAAAAAATGTTAGCTATAAAAAAGATCATTCTGAAAGTGATTGTGAGAGGAAGTGACAGGAGGCAGAAGAAAATGGATTCATTTTGGAAATTTAAAATTAGCCTGGAGGAAAAGCTAGAAAAGGTTTTGTCAGAGTCAGTTCTGAGAGGAATAGAAGATGGAGGGAATAATTTATAGCGCACTTATGAGATTGAGTGAAACATAAAGTAGAAAAATATGTTAGCTATAAAAAAGATCATTCTGAAAGTGATTGTGAGAGTAAGTGACAGGAGGCAGAAGAAAATGGATTCATTTTGGAAATTTAAAATTAGCCTGGAGGAAAAGCTAGAAAAGGTTTTGTCAGAGTCAGTTCTGAGAGGAATAGAAGATGGAGGGAATAATTTATAGCGCACTTATGAGATTGAGTGAAACATAAAAAATTTGAGATGTGTTGTACTGTCCATCTTCAGTTTCTCCAGTTGTGGGTCAGGTTGAGAGCATTGGCTGACTGATCACAATATTGTTACTTTCCTTTTTCCCTACAGGCAAATCCCAATGAACTCTACCTTGATCTGGGAAGTAAAATGCATCCCAGAACGACCAGGGTTACGAAAGCTGATTGCAAGCCTGAATTGTGATGCTTTGAGGCATGTGTATGGTGAGCTGAACGTCCAGATTCAGAAACCATGAACCAATGTGCTGCCTTCATCTCTCATTTAGCTATATTTCAAAATATCACGTTGGGGGAGTGGAGGAGGAAAAAGTTGAAATCTGTTTATTGTTATTTTGGTCATCTTTGTGCTGAACAACATTTGATAAGGAAAACTAAGTGGTAAGACTGGGGAGAGCATGAAAAAACACCTGGATAAAGAATGACTTAAAATTAGATACATGTAATCAAAGGCAATTCTAGGCCATATTATTACTATAGTTCACTTGTATTTAAGGTCTTTTGCATTAGTGCTGCAGGGGAATCTGAAAAGCTCCATTCACCAAAGAAGTCTGAACTTTAGTTTTAATTAAGGCCTGATATTTCACAGAAAAGGAAAAGAAAAAGAACCCAGTGTTATAAATTCTTAGACTGAATTACACAACCTTATGGTAGATCATTCAGGCTGCAATAAAAACAGGTATTTCTAGCTAAAGGGACTGCTTTATCTTACAATGTTATAATTTTCCAGTTCATGGAGAGCTCGCTTTGCTGGGAGCATCTCTCAGGATGTGTTATCTCCAGAATGTTCCCCGCTCCTTGTTTCCTCTTGCTGCTTCCCTATGTTTTTTCTCTTACTCTTTCCTGCGTGCAGGCACCCACACATACTCATTCCTGTATTTCATGCCCTCATCCCACCCCATATGCTGTTGATACACTGTTCCCATCCTTTGCTTGATGAAATTCCAGAGTTTTTTATGCTCCTGCTCAGAGTTCATCACACCAAACTTGCATTTCCTGGTCACATCTCCTGTGTATGATGTGTTCTCTCTTCCTCCTTTTCTGCCTTTTCTTCTCTCCTGAACCCACCCTGTAGCCCCATTTCCCACCCATGTGTGTGTCAGTGGGGTTCGCTGCCCCAGAGCACTCCAGGATCTGCCAGCTGGTAAATGGGGTGAAGGAGAGAGTAGTGGAGGGGGCAGCCTGAGGGTCTTCTCCTGCCAGCCCCACAAGCCTAGCAAATATCCTGCACTGGAGCTGCCACCTGGGGATCAGTTTAGATTAAACCATGCCTGAAAGTTCCCGGGAATCACAGCTACTGCAGAATGAAGTCCTGTTACATGAGAAACCCCAGGAATATACAGGGACGGAAGCTCAGCTGGAAAAGGAATAAAGATGTATCCTGAGAGTCAGAAACTCCACAAGCTGGGTCTGCTTCCTGCCTTTCTCGCAGTATATTCCTCTGTGAGGTGCAATGGGGCCTCCCAAGGCATCGCTCCTCCCTTGAGGACCTTCTGGCTGGTCTGAATCTGTGGTTTCCATTAGTCTTCCATGCAAGGTACTGCTCCATCCTAAGCCATGTACCCCATTGTGCTAGGGCAGCAGGGGTGGGTGTGTGTGTATTCATTTCTCATCTCCCCTGAAATCCTTCTTGGGATCTTTTTCCACGAGGCAAAGATGCATGTGCCACAAGCTGTGGCAACTCCTCTCCCCTGGCCGCAGTGTGTAAGAGCATGTCCTGTATAAACAGCACAGGTGAGCTAACTGAGCTTCCAAAGAAGTTAAAAGGAGCCTCATGCTCATTAAACACTGGGGCTTTATTGTACTGTGTATGGCCGTGTCATTTTGTGGTCTCATTAGTGACAAAGCAAGGGACATCACTTGCCTTCTGCTCCTCTTCTTGCCACACACTGCCTCCTGCAAAACCTGTGACCAGCTGTTAAAAACAAGCAAGTCCTGGGGGGGGGAGAAATGCAGGCTACTCTTTTGCTAAATTATGTGGAACAAAGCAAAGGTTCATACCACGTCATACGCTCAATGAATATCCCTGGATCCAGGAACACCAGACTTTTGGGGGCTTTCATTTCAGGCATGGGCACCCACTCATTTTGTACAGCTTATGTGACCACATTAGAAACTCTGCAACATCAAAGTCTTCCATATAAGTCCTCTGGGGTACAAGGGACTGAACAGTGTGTTGCAAACACAAGGTGACAATCTCTGTTAAGTAATTAAGCAGTCCTACCAGAGTCCACATCTTCTAATAAAATTATCCATTTTTTGCTCTTGCATATAAACCTGCTTTCCATTCCAGACTTTTTATAACTGCAGTATAATAAGAATTTAAAATAAAGCATGTCTGATTGCACTTGTGTCTTGTGTTCTGTATTTTGATCTACTTCTACATAGTAGCACTATAGACACCACTTGCTGCATCTTAAAAGTTAAAAAATTTCCTTCTGAGCCATGTTAATAAAGGTGCCTTTTTTTGGTGCTGAGGAGAAAGCTCTATCTTTATTTAAACGAACAAAAAAAAAAAAATTACAGGTTCAGTTTAACTATTTGCCTTTGTTTTTCCTTCTGTTTTAACAACTGACTACCTAATGCACTGGAGAAGGTGACAATTTCCAGAGCACATCACAGTGCCAGCAAAGAGAATCCTCAGATTCCCCTGGAAATTGCTTTCACGTGTCACGGTCCATTAAGTGGCCAGTATGCTCCTAATGAAACCTTACCTACATCCCACTTCTAAAGTGTGCTTCTCAGCTAAATATTCCAAGGCATTTTACTAACAGTCGTTAAGCTGAATGACGTTCACCACGAGACAGGAAGTATTTTTATTGACAGTTTATAGAGGGGTATATTGAAGCAAAGAGAAGTTCAGTGATGACTGTGAAGGACGCCTGGGAATAGAGGCCAAGGATGTCAACAGCCCTGGGCATTACCAGCCAGGTCGCTCTGTACAGAGCTGCTCACAAAAAACTAAGGACAAAACAAGGATGGCCTCTAGGATTTCAGCCACTCATCACCCTGTGGATGGGCTGTCACATGAATCATGGGTAAAATCTGACTGAAGATGCAGTGAGTGCTGTGATAGCACTGTATGTATGCATAGGAAATAATCAATCAATAATAAGATCAGATTGGCAACCCCAGATCTGGAGGATCTTTGAACCTGAAAAGAGTTGGAGGGTCTCTTTTGAGTGGGCTGAACTTGTGTCCTCAACACAAACATCACATCTCGGAGGTGGACCGGGGAGGAAAAAGTCCAAAATCAAACCCCTGCCTCCACAGATCCCACACTCCAGCAGCTCAGAGAAGCCAAGTACAAACACAAGTCTGCACACTCCTGAAAGCACACCTCATTTGTTATCAACTTGTTACATCCAAGCTATGGAGCAGGTTGCTTCAATTGCCATCAATTTGTCACATTCAAACTCTTGTTATGAGCAAAAGGAAACACACCTTACCTGCAGATCTAGGAAGAATATATTGCTAGTCTTGTTAAAAATAGTCTAATCAAAGAATTATTGTTAGCTGAGATAATTAGGTGATGGAATTATATTTTTGTATTTTTATTACAATGATACTAACCGTTATAGTCCAGATTATATCAAGTAAAATTGATACAAACTTTCTAGCATAGTCCCCTTTCTTTGCTTTTATAGGCACCACTACACTGCCTCTCTGATGTCCTCAGTCTGAGGTGGTGGCAAGTGTAACAGCAAGTCATGAGTGTCCTAGGTCCTCCACCAAGCAGAGTCTGACATTAGTGGGGAGAGTTTCTCTTCCTCTTTGCTGGGATAAGCACAACTGAAAATTTCTTCCTTTTCACCGTATGATCCACCCGAGGTCATTTTTACATGCTTACTAAAACACACCACATCTTATTCTTTCTTCATTGGTTCACAACTCCACAGTAGATCCAAATTTGCTATATATGATGCATTTTACATTTGTTTGGTACTCGTTGTTTGTTCTCCTTTGTTACACCTAAAATTTGTCTTACCCACCTGCTAAGGTTGCACCCTTTGATGACCAGTAATTAACCACTGGTGAGCTATTTGTAGCCTGGGGCCTCCAACATCGTCCTACACCCGTACTACCAGGGCCCCTGTTATCACCCCATGCTACTGATCCTTTATGCTGCGTTTTATTTTGGGGTCATAAATAGTTCATTCTACACAGAATAACTACCTGCTATTACTGTCTACTAGTTACAAAATGTACATATAATGACAAACATTTCACCATGCAATTGGATAAAGCAAAGCAAAAGCTAAAACAAAGTAGTAGACATCAGGTCATTAGATAATTGCTCTTACAGCTAAACAAAGCACAGAAAAAGTTTGACAAGTCCTGATGCCTGTGTTGCTAGCGTAACACCAGGCTGTGACCTTTCACAAGCAATAGCAGCATCTTATCTGCAGAAAAAAAATCAGAGAATGTGACTCAGCATTAGCTTTTCTAATGACTAGTGCTGCCAGTGATAATTGGTTTGAACTGAAACTAATCGATAAATGCTCTGCCAAATGGGTGACACCCCCTGCCCCTTTCTCCTGCTGGGGACTTATATACCACCCTTTCCTCAAAATATTGCTTTCATGTTTGTCCTTGTTTCCCCAGAGGAGGTGGAGGCTGCTGGTGCTAGCTTCTGAACTTGGGTGATGGTGGAAGATGACCAGGTCAGAGGGGGTGGGAAAAGCATCTGCGCTTGTTTAAACCAAAACTAATAGCCCCATTATGAAAGAGGAAAGTCAAAGTATACTGTGAGTGTTGATGAAAGGAGAGGGATTGTCCCATGTATTGGAGCTGGTGTGATAGCTGGTGCTGAGTAGGGAAATGATATGTACATTGGAGTAGCACCTCCAGTGCAAGACAGTTCCTGAGAGAAGCTAGCAGGTTTTGACATGCAGATGAGAGGGATTTACTCAGTGCTTAAAGGCAAGGTTGAAAAAATTGAGTTGAGTATTGAGGAAAGAAAACAAGGACTTCATGCTAAAGAGGGAAAATACGGCCAAAATAATGCAAAGGGAAGATTCTGGTGGGGACAGGTGTCAGGAAGAGCAAGCTGGAAGAGAGGAAGGCCCCAAGACTGTGTTGCCTAATGCAGGGAATCAACAGGAGATACTGGCAGCAGTGGCAGAAGGCAGACCTCCTGGCAGTCACTGGAACTGGATGTGGGCTGGCAGCACAGGGATTCACCCCCTCTGCAGGTAGGTCTAAGCCTATGCTGAGGGCCATGGCTAGGCTCCGGAGCAAGCTTTGTCTGCAAGGCTGGCAAATCATGGGGAAGGGAAAGTCAGAAGGTGGGTTGGGTGCTGGAAGCCTGGGCACTGCGAGGCAGTCAGCAGTTGCAAACCAGCTGAGTGGGCACTATGAGGAGATCCAGGCTGGGCTCGGCATTTTCCTGAAGCCCAGCGCAAATGTGGTTGTGTTTATCTGTCCTCTGCAGTATTAGTCTGGGAATAAAAGGGACTCGCAACTGCTCACTCAACTCCTGCTCCGGTTTTGGCTAATACACAGCTCCTACTAGGGTCTGATGTATGCTGGGAGCAGCGCCATTACGTCAAAGTGAGAGCAACACATAGGCAGGATGCTACGGACAGGGAGGGCTAGAGGTCATTATGCAGCTGTTATCACCTGCAGCTTGCTGTCTCCTGCAGCCATAATCCTTGCATATTGATTGTATGACAGTTTCTTCAGAACACACTAACTTATGGAAATGCTGTAGATCAAACTTCCAAGCTGGAAGGTATAAATAGATCAGCTTACCCAAAAATCTTTTGAAGCAGATCCAATGGCAGCCAGACTGGTGAGGCTTTCTTACTTCCAGGTGTGATACAGGGGACACCCACAAGGTGATGGAGGAGGAAGAATGAGCGCTCTCGCTGTCGACTAGGTAGCTATTTTGCTCATAGGCACGAGTTGCAAGTTATGATTAGAGAACTTGTGAGTTAGAAACATCATGAATTAAGTGATGAATCAGTGAATTCACATGTTAGATTAGTCTGTACAAAGGGGATCTAGCCCTTATTTGAAGTGTTTGTTTTCTTTCCTAGCATGTTCATAAAATAAAGTTCAATTTACAGAGTATGTTGTCCTGTAAATTTGAGCGATCCAAATGGATCATAACACCCCTGATCATGAGAAATAGGAAATGTCTGGTCTAGTGAAAACTGTAGTAGCAATGAGTGGCATTGCAGATGCAGGTATTTTGCTTATGCTACAGTAGCCTCCTTATTGGGTACAAATGCAACGTGGTCTCCCTGTTTTGGTAGCTTTGGTGGCTTTTTGTTTTGTGAGATTTTGCAGCTTTGTTAGCTTTTAGCATCTACCAGATGTTTGGGAAAGGAGCTCCCCAGGTGTGCTACCAACAGATATGAAGAACCATCTCATATTTACTTTGAACCTCACTCCCCTACTGACCTCCTTTGATGCCATATATCTCTGGTACTGGAAGAGTCAGGGAAAACTTCTTCCCTCTCCAACATGCGGTCTATAATTTCATAGACTTCTATACTGTATTTCCCCCAAATCACGTCTTTTTCAGACTTAGGAGTCCTACGTTAGTCACTTTGGGTGTGGAAACTGTTCCATGCCTGTGATCATTCTTGTTTCTCTCCTCTGAACTTCTCCCAATATTATATCATTTTAAGTACCATTTAAAAACAAGACAGCTGTTTTAAGCAGCTGTATTTTGAAAGGACAGTGCTAATGAGTGAATGGCCTACCTGTGCAGGGAGAATGTGGGTCTGTTGGGATCCAGGTTCGTTAGGTTAAACCTGGACCCAGCTGTGGCTGAAACAAATAGATTCAAAACCTGCCCTGGTTGCAAGCTCTGTACAGCCAAGGTTGAACACATTTTATTCTTTTGCATGGGGTGTTTCATGAAATTCCCCACTGTCTCATACAACCACCAGTGTGACTGCCCTTGAAAAGACCATGGGTCAGCTTTCTGCAACAACTTGCTGATAAGGAGTAGGGCATTAACATTTGAAAACCAGCTGATTTTTTCATCACTATGTAGATTCATAGGGTTCTGAGATGCTCTTAAATGTTATCTGCATTCTGGTCTTCTTCAAATTAAATATGTCTCAATATCACAGTGGTTATGTGGTGCCCTTCAGGTTGTTTTATCTGATTACAAAATTCTTCTGTTTGGAAACAGCAGAATAATAGTGAAATGCTGCTGTGAACTTCAGACAACTGAACAGCCAAAACCTTGTGGAGTAAGGGGTAAATCCAGTGAGCTGTAACTCAGTTTTAATACTCTTAAGCTATATTTGCATTAGTAAGTTTAACAGGAGCAGATCTGTAGAGTGAAACAGCTGGTGTTGAGTACCCAATAGCTACACTGTATTTTA